TCGGGGAAATGGCAAGAATGACCTCCCAATCATTTTGACTTCACAAATTCAGGAATTTTACCAACCATCCTCTGTGTTCTATATTCCAGCAACCACCACAAGGACAGACGATTTTAAAAAAGAAGAATAAGAAGGCCTTAGCCTTCAAAGGTGAAAAGAACCGAGGATAAAATGCTCTCGCCTGTTACCAAGGAGACGAGAGAAGAATGGCATGTTGTTGGCTGGTTTGGGAGGACAATTTCAAGAGGCAAATAGCATCTGCAATGACAGGGCGTGAGTATGCTGCATACTTAGGGGTACCTCTTCCTCACTTTTGATCCTTTTCTACTAAACAGCAAGAGGCCGAGTTCAGATGGTTTCTGGGAAGTTGCCCTTCGGAGAATGTGCCTCCACCTCCCTCCTTAGATAAGACAGCCTGGGTAGAAAGCTGGCACTCTACACCAGGCCATCCTGAGTCCTTCCCCTGCCTCCTCTCCTGCTCACGCACAAACCTGCACGTACAAACACACTCCACGGTACCCAAGCAGTGGGTCCACCCAGTCAAACTGCCCTCTAAGAACTCCTTACTCCGTCCTCCCTCTTGGTGAAGATCCCATTCAGTGCTAAGGGGCCGCTGTGCTCATGTCCTCACATATGATGACTGGAGGAATAAAGGGGTGGGGGCATTATGAAGGTCCTAGAGAGGGAAATGACTTCCCCAAAGCTGTAGCACTGCTCTCAGGCAGGGCTAGGGTGCAAACCCCACCCTCATACATCTCACTCCTGGCCAGCCCCAATCAGAAAACGCTGCAGGGCCAGAGGCTGACTCTGGTTTTCCCAGGGGTGCCAGAAATAAGGATAGATTCCATTATATTTCAGTAGGGACTTCAAAAGAAAAAAAGGAGGCTACGGAAAAATGCAATACTAAGGTTCTGGTATTCCTCAAACCACCAGAATGGATTTATTCTAAGTTGGCCCTGTTGCTTTGACTTCAGGCCTTTGCTGGAATTCAAATAGCACCTTTGAAGGGAAGATCATGGCATCAAGGCCAACTTTGTCCATAAGCAAACACAAAAACAAGGCCTATTTATCAAAGGAGAAGTTGTAACAATTCACTCTCTGTCTGGGGGTCTGTTTATTAGGTCACTGGTCTAAGTGAAACCAAGGAGAGGGACACAGTTCTCCACGTCAAAAGAGCGCAGTGCATCCTGGGAAGGCTGGCTTCCTTCAAGGGGCTCTGAGGATGACGACACCTCTCCTTTTCTTTTCTGTATTAAATTTCTTCAAATTTAGGGGCCCTGTGATTTTTCAGGTTTCAGAATGAGTGGTCCATCACTCGGGACACAGGAGGGAGCAGATTTCTTTGCAAACTGGGGGTGGGAATGGCTAGGTCAGGAGCACACATTCATTTCACACAGCTTCCTCATCTGGGCTTTTCTGTGGAGGAGGTGTGAAGTCTGTGTGCTGCAAGTGGAGAGAAAAAATTACGTTGATGCAACACTCAAATCAAGCCATGGCAAAATTGTGACTTAATGACCACATGTCCCTTTTTACTCATATGATCTACCTCAGCTTTTTAAGTAAAGATTTCACTCCTCTGTGGGGGTGGCATGGTGTGGGTGAACCAACATTAGCAGCTCGTAAGACTCATTTGCTGAAGAAATTGTTGAGCTGGTGTACGTTCTGCTATGCATATATTCCACGACAGTAATAGAGGCACACAGTTGTTTGGTTTTGTTTTTTTTTTAAAGAGTCACTTATGCCTGACTGCTACATCCAGGCTAACAGCATCCATACATCTAGGGACAAGGAATAACTGTTGATGCTATATTTCTGACTCATAATATAACCCCAGGGAAGAACTACTCCACTGGGTTCCCTTGCCTGTATTCTTTAAAGGAGTAGATCACCTAGAATTTCTGCCAAGTAGTTACTGGGTGATTCAAATAATCACCTTTTCCAGTAGCCACAAAACACTTTATAATGCATTGCCAGGGCTCCTGAAAGACAGTTACTGGGTAAAGAAATCATGTGCAAGAGGAAATGTCACAGATCAACACAGGAAGGGGGAAGATGCTCACAAGGCACTCATGCCCCCTTCTCTGATGAAGGCACCTCATTTTCCATTTGCGGAGACACTACGCCTACTCTGATGTCATCTGGGCAGACCGCTCTCTGCAGCCTGAAGGGCAGATACTTGACCCAGGCCTGGATAGTCGGTGATGGACATGCTTTACGGGGTAGGCAAAGGGCCCAAGTAAGGACCAGCCACAGGATCCCAGCCAGTCACTGGGACGTGATGCAGTTGGAGGCACCTGAGCCTGGGAACAGCCAATGGTCATCTTTTCACTTGGATCTAGCCCTGCCCAAGCCTCCTGGTTACATGAACAATAATCACTCTGCTGAGGCAAGTCCAAGTCGGATTTCTAGGTCTTACAATCACAGAGTCCTAACACATCCTCATTAAGGAAAAAAAACAAAACAAGCAGCCTGTGAATTGTATTTTCTGGACTCATAATTTCCAGATGGGAAAATATCAAGTTAATGAAACTGTCAAGGCACACGAGAAACTTAAAAGACACTGAGCCGGGCAAGGTCAGTTCTCCCCACTTCTAGGCAATCCCCAACCCCACGCTGCATTTCTGCTCAAAATGTGAATAGGAAAATGTGACCCTCCAAGTCACAGGCACTAACAACTGTGCAGTTTCAAACACACACAGATAGAAGCATAGGGTTAAACACACCAACTGTCTCTTCAAATGTGTGAATAACCAGGAGAACAAATACACAATTCAGAGAGCTCAGGAATTTAACAGTGGCTGCCAAGCTGAATGTCCTGATGCAGGATGGGCCTGGGAAAGCTGTATTTCTTTATTGTGAACGAGGGGAAGGGATGGCAGGCCCTATCATATGTTGGAATGACTACTGTGGTCAAGAAAACACAAATGGTAAAGCTGCCAAGGTGGCGGCTGAGAGCCACGCTTGGGCGAGCTCTGGAGTCTGTTTAAGCAAAGCCTCTGGGGACATCCTTGGGCCCTAGCAGAGGAGGTGACCAAAAAAGACTTTTGGAGACTGGTGAAAATCTCCCCTCTGGACTCCTGCACGGGACAAGTGGGCTCAGCATCCACAAAGCCTACACACCAATTTTAAACCGAGGAGCCGTTATCAGCAGGAAGGTGCATGGATGCTGGGCAGACATACAGCTGATGTGACTAACTGGATTGTACTGTAGAGGCCAAGCCTGCCATGGCCCTTCCACACCACTGTTAGTCACGGGCACAGCCCAGTGAGGGAGCCTCCCTTAAAAGGACTGGAATAAAAGAGCATCTTTCCAAAACAAAATCGACAAGGACACAGTGTACAAAAATGGGGCGAGGACAGTCATTCTTCCTCCAATGTGACTACTACAGGCAAGCTGAAAACTGACTTAGCCAACAGTTTGCTTCTGGGTTAAGAAGAAAAAAATATCAAATCAAATCAAAATGACCCCAATAGGCAAATAAGTGTGGCTTACCTTGAGTTTGCCCCTTACTTCCTCACCAAAATGATATTTGTTGACAAAAGTTTCCCCAAACCAAAATATAAAAAAGAATTCCTAAACCAAAATGCTTACTGTGTACTTTGACCAGAAAAATGACAGCTTGGAGACCTCAGGCCCCAAGTGGAGGTCCAGTGGCACCAGGGAGATGCTGAGTTGTACTTAATCAAAACGTGGCCAGGGCATTTGCTGACAACTGCCAGGAAAACCATCATGAGGTCGAGGGAGTGGGAGCGCGTTCCGGCTGCAGGATCCCAGCAAATATCTAAAGTCAAACGAGCTGTCTGCTACAGATTAAAACAGCCGTTCTGCTCTGTCGCTTCCAGTCAGATGCCTTCCACTGGAGGCCTCCTACCACCTAGGCTGGTGGATGCGAATCCAGGACCCAGGTGGATGGCTCACAGGAAGCATTAGCCATACCTCTGCAGACCACAGCCAGGTGGGCGTGGAGGGAACAGATCCACCCCAGGAGATAGGCATCAACCTCCCCTCCAGCAAGCAGAGCCCTGGGTCCCCCCACCCACACCTCTACCAAGCACCCATCTCCATCACCTCTTGCATCCTGGTGCCTGGGGCTGTAGCCAGACCCCAATATGTATGGCTTTGAGCTTGGCCCAGGACACAAGGGATTGGATGGTTTAAGCTGAACAATCTTAGAGCAGTAATACTCTCCAGTCTGAGGTTATACCTAGACGAAAAGGATGTGGGGGAAAAAACCCAGAATCATCCTTGACATTGGGGGTGGGCTGGGGAAGAGCACTGAATGATTTTTCTTACTGAGCATAAAGGCACCCAACACACTGTACCTCACTCTAAACAGACAGGACTTTTGAAAAATTTTTGTGTATGAATCATGGTGATTATTTTGATCATTTAATTCCAAAAAAACCAAAATCATCTCATTGGAAGCAATTTATTTCCTTCACTGTGGAATCCCTTCCTCCCTACACTGCACTAGAAATAATGCCTTTTCTCAAAAATCAGAATCCTAAGTACAACAACGAATGAATGGAAATCCAAAGTCTCTGTAAATTTTCATTCAAATTAGTAATAATAAAAATCAGAATCCTGGGCTGTCAATAACAACAGCAATATTGTTCCTGCTGAAAGTTGTAGCAGCAGCTGGAGCAGTAAATAGAGTAAGACAGCACTTGCCTTGAGCCAGGCACTGTAACAAGAGTGCTGCAAATAAGAAGTCATCTAATTCTCTTAACAGCCCTATGAAGTAGATTCTGTGCTGGCCTCCGTTCTCAGATGAGGAAACTGAGGCATAGAAAAAAGGAATTCTCCTCCAGGCCCCCTACCCATCAAAGGGTAGGGACATGCGGAGGTTTTCTGTGTGACAAGGGCCAGGTCACGTAGAATGAGGTACACAGTGCCAGGACTGAACACACAGGAGGGGGCGGGGGTGAGGAGGGAGGAGACAGGACGGGCAGGCGGGCTGCCCGTGGGGCACACGGGTGGCGTTTGCGAGCGCACTCACCTTCACTCTCCCCACTCGTCTTCATGCCTTTTGAACCACCCTCTGTACCTTTAGCCTTCTCGGCGTCTTCCTGGGCATCCTCGGCCGCCCCTTTCTCCTCGTCTTCTTCCTCCCCAACATTTTTGTAGTTGGGTCTCTTTTGCACCCGCCTCTTGCCCTTGTGCTTGTTCATCTCAAGGGACCGCTCCAGTGTCTCGGTGGGTTTTATGAAACACCGAAGGCTGGGCTTGGCCTACAGAGTCCAACAGAGGCAAGAGACAGACGTGAAGGGTGGAAACTCAACTGATACCATCTTGTTGTCTGATGGCGCCTGTCTCCAAGAATTTATCTTCAAAACAACACATACCACCTCCCAGCGTGTTTGTCCACTAACATCTAATAACATTATTATTAAATAATATAAACAACAACAGCTACCACTTACTGCTCTCAACAGCTAAGGGGAGACCACCAAGAGGCTCTCCAGGGCCAGCTCAATGTTTCCCAAATGCCAGTTATTCATAGAGGATGACCATGATCCTGTGTACTTGTCAGCTGTGCCTCTAAGGTATAGAATGTATAGGATCTCAAACTTGACAACCACCTCACAAGGTAGTATCAGGGTTATCCTCATTTTATAGCTATGGAAACCAAAGTTCAGAGATGCTGAACAACCTGCCCAAGGTCACACAGCTAAAAGGTGGAACGCCTGGGATTTAAACTCACATGCACAATTGGTGTCTCAGCTACAGCACACTGAGGTCACAATCTTCTTAACTTACATAAGCGTTTTGTCAAAACAAAGCACATGTCACTACAGGAAAGAAAACACTGTTGTACCTGCCATTATGCTAATAACTGAGAAAAAGACACGAGTAGTGTTGTGGTTAGGCCACCAAGGCAGGTCTGAGTCCCAGTGACCCTCTCTGGACGACAGAACGAAGCACTGCCCCATCCTGAAAATCCTCCCCGTCCATGCTTGTCCCCGTTGTTGCAGCTACTGGCTCAGTCAGTCTCACTGGGGATCTTCCTGCTTTTCTGCTGATCATTTTACTAAGCATAATACTCTCCAACGGCTGTCCCTCCTGATAACATGCTCAGAGTATGTAAAATGAAATCATGGTCATAAGGAGTACCCCGGCCGCACTTTTTCCAAGACAGGACAAATGCTGACTTTCTTTACAAAGGGAGTCTGGTGTGAATGGGTATACAATTTACCCTGTCTGAGGTCATATAGCTAAAGAGTCAGAATTTGAACCCAATCTTTTCTTTAAAATAACAGTATTTTACCAAGCTCTCTCTAAAATGACAGTATTCTACAAGGGGCTCAATCTTGTCTCTATATTTAGCAATCCTGAAAAAGTATGTACATGCAAAGGGATCAGGTTGAGAAAGGAGCAAAGACTAGAGAAACTCACTAGCTGTTTGAGGACACATTTCTAACTGAAGTGCTTTTCTCTTTTCACAGTCTGGATGATGGTGATGTTGGTCTATGACTTTGTCATTTAAAAAAAAGTAAAACACAAAACCAAAGCAAGCCATTTTAAGACAGACTTCTCCATCATCTTGATATGCATTACTCACCTCATGAATTTACCCTAAACAACCATCAATTTTATTCCTGAGCCCCAGACCTTGCCAATAAGTCGAATGAGTTCAGGAGCTCAGATTAATTTTAATAATGCTTAAGACAAAGCCTAATGGAAAGCCAAATTAGCATTCAAACTCAAACATTCATTTTTATTTACCCACTTTGGATTACCCATCCACAGAAAGACAGATAAATTGAGACAGGAATTACTGTCCAGGAAATCAGAAGCGTATGCAGATGCCAGCAAAGAGAGCCCAGAGAAGGGGCATCCCACCTGCACTGCTTGACAGACAGCATCCATCAGGGCCCACTCAGGACACAGAGTGACTGAATGCGGCCCTGGGTGCCCCTCCTCTCTCTCCTCCTGAACGACTCAGATTCACAGAGTCAGGCACCAAGACTGAGTACTTGCTTTCTCAGCTCATAACCCAATGAGTTTTAGAGCATGTCACCCAGCAGTTAAAATCTTTCCAAAATAGAAAAACAAGATCAAACAGAGAGCAATACAGAGAAATGACAGAGCAGGAATTCTCAAGGATAGACTGATCCAGAACTCTCTCTATAAGCTTTATATGGAGTCCCTGCAGAGTATAAACGGTTAACAGCCTCAATTGCTAACTGGAAAGTTGGAAGGTCGAGTCCACCCAAAGGTGTCCCAGAAGAAAGACTTAACAATTTCTCTCTGAAAAATCCCCCAGTGACGACTGCATGGAGCACAGTCCCAGTGTCTCACACGTGAAGTCACCATGCAGCAGAAGTGATGTAACAGTAATTGGGTCTTTTAAAATCTATAAAAATTTTGGTGTACTGAATCGAGATAGTATAACAAATCTCACCTTGTATGGGCCTGGTCAGAGTGGAGTGAAAGCCAGACGAGACCTCATGGCTACACAGTGACCCCTTCCTTGCTTAACCCTCATGGGAAGGGGCCCTCTCTGAGCCTAGGTCTCTTACCTAAATCACGGAACAAAGAATTCTAGTCTCTTAGTTCTGAACACAAACATGGATAAAAAAGTTCTTCAGAGGCGAGTGATACTATAATCATCCATCAAATGCCAGCTACCTTCCCCTCAGTGGCTGTGTGTGGGACGGGGGAAGGAGAGAGGGGGACCAACTGTAAAGATAAGAAAAACTTCAAAAGGGATCTGCTTCTCTTGAAGATCAAGTGTTTGGGGGAAAGGCAAGCTTACCAGGGAAATTTTAAACCTTTAAAATGCAACCAGCCAGTAGATAGGTGGAAATAACCTAAATGTCCATCTGAGGGGAGGGGTTATGTCATTACAGCTGGCCTATCAATCAAGTGGGGACATGTGGAATTGGTAAGAAGATTCAGGTACACCTTGATGAACAGATGCAGAAAGAGTTCTGGAATGAAATGACAAGGATAGTGAGGAGAGCTGGGCTCCTGTCAGTTAAAGATTGTTCAACCTACAACCAGAAGATAAAATAGATGAATGGGAATCTTCTAAGAATCAAATCCCTATGCACATGCAAAACTTCTCCAACAGGGTAAAAAGGGAAGCCACAGACTGGGAAAAAGTATTTGGTAATGACATATCAGATAAGGGATTTATATGCAGAATTTATAAAATACTTGAGCACCACAACAAGATAAAGGTAAATAATCCAATAGAAAAATGGACAGGATATGAACAGACACTTCACCAAAGAAGGCATTCAGATGGCTAACAAGCACATGAAGAAATGTTCAAAATCCCTAGCTCTAAGAGAGATGCAAATCAAAGCATCTATGTGATATCATCTCACCCCTGTCGGAATAGCAAAATTTAACAGAACAGCAAGCAACAAATGCTGGCAAGGTTGTGGAGAAACTGGAACCCTTATCCACTGTTGGTGGGAGTATAAAATGGTGCAACCACTGTGGAAGGCGGTATGGCGCTTTCTCAAAAAGTTGCAAATAGAGATACCATTTGACCCAGCAACTCCACTACTGGGAATATACCCCAAAGAGACCATAACTGACATCCAAGCAGATATATGCACACCTATGTTTATCGCGGCTTTGTTCACAATAGCAAGGAGTTGGAAACAACCTAAGTGCCCATCAACAAACGAATGGATAGAGAAGCTGCGGTATATTCACACAGTGGAATACTACACTGCATTGAAAAATAAGGAACCTCAAGCAATATTATTCAAAATGAGTGACCCTGGAGGACATTATGCTGAGTGAAGTATCTCAGTCATAAAAGGACAAATACTGCATGGTGCCACTGTTGTAAAACAGGACTGACATCTGGGTTGGGGGGAGACTGAGAAAATGGGTTCAATAATATATACTACATTGAAATGGATGAGGGAGAAAACTGTTTAACAGGGATATGTTATTAGGTATTTTTGTCATCACAGGAGTCCAGAGAGAAGGCTGCATAGTGGAGTGGACCTGGAGGGAGGGATTGTAAAATAATTGTAAAAGAATTTTTCTTTTACTTTTCCAAGAGGGTAATGTACTAGGGGGAGGGTTGGGAGGGGAGAAAAGTGCAACAATGAATGAATGGAAATCCAAAGTCTCCATAAGTTTTCATTGAAATTAATAATAAAAAAAAGAATATGAAAAAAAAGAATTTTCACTTTCTACACGATATGCTTCAATATTAGCCAAGAAAGCTTTGTCCGTATCATTTACATGCAAAAAGTACCCTTTTTTACAGTGTTTCTGCAGAAATTTATTATTTTGTACTAAAAAATCCCTATGTTGTTGTTGTTATTTGGTGCCATGGAGTCATAGACGACTCATAGCGACCCTATAAACGAACAGCCTGAGCACTGTTCGTACATAGAGTTTCCGGAGGCAAGCCATTTCGGAAGCGGATGCCGCTCCTGCTTTGAGGCTTGATTTAGTTGGGAAGCTCCAGCCAACACTGTCCACCATGGGTGCCCATGACCACGATTGGCACATCACTGTCACAGGCTTCAGCATCACAGCAACCACGAGTTACCTCTGTACAGCAACGCACAGAGTAAAACAAAAACATTTTCCAATGAGAACGAAATTTTTTTTTTTAATTTCTTTTAAATGGCCCCTTAAGTAGTCAATGAGGCCTTCCCTGGGGGAGGGCATGCTGGTGACAGACGGAAAGGAACTCATGGTCTGTGAGAAGAGCTTCCGTCTTGATCTGAAATATACACAGGTGTGATCATATCACAGAATAATTGAGCTGAGTATCTACAAATAGCACATTTTCATGCACTTTCCTACATTTATGTTAACTCACAACAGCAAAAAAAAAAAAGAAGGGATTTCACTGGAGCCAGGCTGTCCTAAGGTCCTAATGATAATCTAGGAGAAAATGAGGCAGCTAGGGGAGCTGAATGCTTTGGTGTCCCCTGAGGTTTGAATTCCTCTTTACTGAGCACACACTGAGCAATGAGTTGGGGGGAGGGGGAAGGGGGCTCCAGCTGGGGAGAAAGCAAACACCCTCAACATCACAACATATCACGTGGCCACACAAGAGAAAGCAGGTATGCAGAGCAGCAGGGAGAGGCTTGCCAGAACTGGAAGGATAGCAGGAGAACCGAGGGGCTTGAGGGGCTTTGTAGAGAACAAAAGGGCTGGCTGACCCAGGTATTAGAAGGAATTCACCAGAAGGTGCGGACAGAACAGGGGTGGGAAGGTCAGCTCAGTGGTCCAGTGGGGCTCT